ATTGTTAAAAATCGGGACATCTGGTCACCGTACATTACAGGGAAAAGACAGACCTTCCTATGGCTCCCCTCATTGGGGTACTCAGTGTATTGTGGTGGTGTGGAACTGAACCCAGAGCCCTGGCGGCATAGTGGGTTGCAGATTGCTAACCACAAGGTAAGTGGTTCAAGCCCACCAGCTTCTCCTTGTGAAAAAGATGATCCTATCGACCCCTGTAAAGCGGGACAGACTCAGAAACCCTCAGGGACAGTTCTCTTCTGTCCCATGGGAGCACCCGGAGTATGAACTGGCTTCGTGGCAGTGGGGAGATGAAGAACTGAACCCATGGTATCTCTGAAGGCTGCCTGTAAAGCCATATAATATCCCGCGCCGCTTGTTAATACGGGTGTCGGGAGGGTTATCATTTGCAGGTGGGGAAGAGCCGAGTTTTTACCAAGGCAATGGTGTAGGATTGAACAGGGAGATGGGAACAGCATTCAAAGGCCCTTGGAACACAAGTGTGACCCAGCATCACGTATGTGGAAATGGGGTTTCCCCAAGTGTGTGAGAAAGTACAAGATGGGCCCAAGATGAGTGCACGTCATTGAGAAAAGGGCACCGATAAACTCGCTCCACTCAAGGTTGCCACAACCTTCGATTTGTTGAAAACCTGCTTGCTAATCCGCAAAGCATGAACGAAGTTTGCCTGCACCACAAAGCCGGCCCTGGTCTCACTGGAATTCACATTGAGCAGGGGCTCCTGTGAGATAGTTAAAGTTTATTGTGGCAACCTGGCCGATAAACACATGTGGGGTTAATTGAAGGGCGGAGAGATTAATGGCTAAGTGAGCCTCGCCTTTCGAGTACTCGAGTCTCTTGTTTCTGATGGTCGGACCAGGGTGCAGATGCCTGCCCTACTTCAGCTGGCAAGGCTGACTTCCTGGAAGACATCCCCGAGGAGAAGCCACATGGACCTACCCTGATGCAGTCCTGGGTGCTGGAGCAGCCGTGTGGAGACCCCTGCCAGCGCTGAGATGCTTACACACTCACTCAGTTTTCTTCCTGCAGTCGGCATCATAGTGTGTGTTTTGTGAGATGGAGGACTTTGTGGATTGTTGTTGGATATATGGCAAGGTGACCAGATTTAAAGCGGGACACCATTGACTGGGGGGTGGTGGGGTGTTCTTGATTAAAAATTTGGTCTATATGGACCAAATAGACTGTTCCCTAGCTTGTCATGCATTCTTTCCAAAAATCTGGACTTTTTTAAAATGCCAAAAATTTGGACTGTCCCACCAAAAACTGGACGTCTGGTCACCTTAACATATGGGTTAATGTTGGACTTGTGGGCCTGGGCAGCACTCGGTTGGGATGTTTTCGTGATGTGCACGTACCCTTTATATAAAACTCTCTCTTATATATATGAGTTTCTGTGGATTTGTTTCTCTAAAGTACCCAGACTAACGCACCCTGTGTCTCAAAGTTGCCCTACTGGAGAGGCGCCAAGGTGGAACGCTCCAAAGCCCCTGTGAGCAGAGTGGCCTGGTTTATGCCACTGAGGCAGAGGGGCTTCCCAAGGCTGCCTCTTCCAGTACTTTTAGTACTAAACCTGGGGATATCCCATGAAAACTGGGACAAGTTGGCCACCATAGGCTGAACTGCTGTTGGCTGAATTGAAGTTAACCCATCTTCTGGGCTGGGTGCAGCATCTGGGGGCCTGCAGTTGGGAGCTGATACCTCAAGTTGGTGATGACTTGGGGTCCTGGCCAGGTCGAAGTCCATAATCCAGACACCCGTCTGCAGTGACATGTGACTGCCGCTCCAGCTGTTGTTTTGGGCAGAATTCCACCATCGGGATCATCCTTTGGTGTGGCTGGTTTTTCTCTGGAAGAATATTTATTGCCGATTTCGTGGGTTCACATTCTGGCTGCAGAGATGTCCTGTTCTATCTAACTTTGTGTGACTCTTCTTTGTGGTCCCTTTTCCCTTTCTTCTCTGTTCAGCTTCCCTCGGCCCCTGCTGTTCGCTTATCAGAGCACCCACCACCTCGGGGCCAGCGCTTTGTTCTCTCAGCTCCTCAGATGTACACCCAACCCTGGCTCTCTGCCAAGCAGATGTGGATTTCCATGTGCACGTGGAGAGGAAACCAGCAAGGATGGAGGAGTGGCCTTAATTTGCACAAGCTCCGCTGGTTCAAGAGACCCCCTCCAACCCGCCTACACACCCACAACAAACAGATGCTAATAGCTAGTTAGCTGAATACAGGAACAGCCCTCTATGGCTAGTTCTGCCATCACCATTCGGGTCCATCTCCAACGATGCAAACATCATATCGAATGTCTGTAGCTGCTCGGACATCTGCGCCACACGCTGTTTTCTCTTTGCTCCCCAGGAACGAGTGGCTCCAACAGCCTGTGAAGGTGGCCGTGTCACCCTGGAGGCATCTGAGTTGGATTTTTCTCTTGTCATCTGTTATCTCATTTACAAAGGCCTAGACCTCGCTTAACTTTCCACTCAGGCTCTCGAGTCTCCTGGGCGTGTTTTCCCAACAGTTACTTTGCCGGATGACAAAGGCAGCTAAGGAAAGAAATCGGCTTTCACTCACTAAAGGCAACTCCTGGGACTGAGTGACTGGGCAGGCGAACGGTGTGTGCTCACTGCCAGAGCACAGGGGTGAACTTCCCTGGTGGGTTTGTGAGACTTGACTCTTTTCCGGGATGAGAAAACCTCGTCTTGTTTCCATGGAGCGGCTGGTGGTTTCCAACTGCTGACCTTGTGGGCAGCAGCCGAGCTTGTAACCAACTACGCCACCAAGGCTCGACTGCCAATGGCAACTGGTAGTATGATGCTTATTTTCAACATATGATGATGAATCAAGTCTAGTTACAATGATAGACCTCTAAGGTTTATTTATAGACACATGCAAATTCATGTAGCTAAAAAAATATTGGCTCCTCCATTTTCTGGACTACTTTTGATCTAGTAACAGACAGACAGACTTTTTAGTACCTTTGGTGGCACAGAGGCAGGCCGCAGGGCCATGCGACCTGGCTATTTTCTTACCATGATTTACAAGAAGAACATGGCGGGAGAAGGGGCTCATATGGCCAGGCCACGCAGTTCCCAAGGCAACCATGCCAGATGGCAGCAGGAAAAGATAGGGTAGGTAGTTTTTGACCTGCCATCAAGCTCTGAATCTTGATTATCGCTCCGGCTAAGGGTGGGGAGCCAGGACGAGAGGCTTGCAAGCAACTCCTTCTTGCCCAGCCTTGTGGTTTTGGAATCTCCACAGCAGGGCCTGAAGCGATCCGAACCACTTCCTCAATGGGAATCTTAAGAAAGCACTTCTGGGTTTTGTCACCATGCTCCCAAGCAAAGTACACATCCATGAAGCTGTGCCAAGACAACACCCGTCCCACAGGCGGGTAATATGCCCCCAGGTCCTGCAGCAAACCACTGCTTCCCAGACCATCAGCGACGACACCAAATAATGACCCTCAGTTTCTAAATGCTTCATTCCACCCCTGCCCCACCCCCACCCGCCCATGTGATCTTTGCTCCCCAGGAACGAGTGGCTCCAACAGTATTTTTGACCAGCTCTTCCGTCACACAGATAAGAGGACCTTTCTTTGTTACACACGGACACGGTGGACAGTGAATTCTATGTCCCGATTGAATGCCAGGGGACAGAGCTGTTGCTTCATGGTTTTATTCATTATGACACAGGATAGAACTTTCAGAAACACCACCGAACATGGCATTGCCAACATGAAAATTAAGAATAGCATGTTTTATATATAAAAAAACCAACACTTTTTTTATGATACACTTTCCCTTACGAAGTGAAAACGTCTCATGAAATACTGAATGAAGAACACAGCCGCCTGCTGGTCGTACAATGGTGTTGCAGTTGAAACACTCCGACACTGTATTACTAAGTACAGGAGGAACATTGTTTAGGAACAGTTTTTAAAATATGACATCTATTTACGGAAGAAAGCGTTCACTCAGGCTTTGGCACAAAGTAAGTACAAAGCTGTAGTTTCCCCACCCCACCCCCCACTTAGGATTTATTTTACGAAACATTTCACATAATTTGGCTAATACTGATTAAGGGGCAAAGGGAAAAACCGTGTCTTTCTATAATTTGAAATACTCCATTTAGATTCTTCAACACCTTGCAGTGGAATTCCAGTTTATAGTTTTGAAAAATACATATACATTATAAATATATATTATATATGGCCTACATAAACTTGAACTTGACCTAAAAGAGAAAGGGGGGCGTTAGCTTTTTATTATTATTATCTGTTAGGCACGGCCCTTTTCTTGCTTAACTGAATCCCTTCTAAACAAATTCCAAAAATATATTCCATAATGTATCAAATTTAATATACTCCTAAAACATATGCAGTATGCAAAAGTACTCAGTGACTGTGTTTTTCATGTCTCCCTACTTATAAAAATATGGCTTTCCCACCTTCTTCTTCACTTGTGTTTTTGGAAAACGTGTTTTTCTTAGGCGTTGAAAGGCTGTCCGCTGTTAAAAGGCCACAGCCCCAAAGCACAGAAACCCGCCTACGCACCTTCCAGAGCATTCTATGGAATCTCCTAGCTTCCTAGAGCTCATTGCTTAATGTAAGTGAAGTGATTTAAAAAAAAATTGTTCCTTCGGTTTTTTTCTCTGTGAATATGTAACGATTATCATACATAACCTATGACAGAAGACACATAAATACAATTGAGCAATATCAAAGCAACAGGTTTATCTTACACAGAGCCAAGGTGGATTCTTTTTGGAGCGGTTGCTGTCATCTGTTGGGGTCGGGGTGTTGGTGGTCTCCCGAGGCTGGCTATGCAATAGGACCGGATTGATTGTCCAGGGCGAGGGGTGGGGGGCGCCGGGGGGCTCTACCCATGTCAGCGACCAGAGCTCCCCTCGTGCTGCTTTCGAAAGGCATCAAAGAAGGCGAAGCAAGTGTCCCACCGTCTGACCTCGGCCCTCCCGCGTAAGCCACGGTTCATACCAGCGTTTCGGGCAGGGCGTCCGGGTTGTCGGTGGAGAGGAGTTCCCAGATTTGCCACCGCTCTCGCTGCCAGTCGAGCCAGTTGGCTTCGCCCCGCTTCGTACTGTTCTGCTCGCCGCCTGGGGCCGCGGGGCCGCTGCTCCGTGGGCACGGGCCGCCCGGGCCGCCCTCGTC